TATTACTCATGTCCCTTTCATTGGTAAACTTATTACTCAGTTTTTGCTGTAACATTTCAGTCACATGGTTTACATGCGGAAATCATTGAAAATACTCGCAATTACGTGYAGAATTTATCTAAAACAATTGTGCTGTGGAAATTTTAGATGTGCGCTTGTAATTGTTGAGTTAAACATGCATGCATAGTTTCGAAATAAATAGCTCCATCATTTCGTCGAATTTTGTTGCATTGACCAGCTGCATTATATTTGAATTTTAGAGACCACTTGTAGGGTTATAAAAAATTGACAATAGACACGCTCATGAATGGATAGCACACGGAAATTGTAATTGAATTCCCTGACTAAATTATATCCAAAAAGGTAATTTTTCCTAAATTGGTAGTGCTGCTCTTAATTACTATGCCAAAAATGAGCTCAATGTGTCAACCAGTTTCCCTACTGCAGCAGCTTAAGTCGGTACACCTCGGTAGTGTGTAGCGATTTTTACAATAGATAACAATATCGAAACAGTGTTTATCTCAAATATTGTATTTCAAACAACATTGCGTGTTTCGAATCATTGCGAATATTACAAAAGGCTGACGGTGATTCAGTTCTATCAAAACCAAGTCTACGAGTAGTACAAAGTCTTCAGAGACGGTAAAGGGATCGTTGAAGACATGCCTCGTTCTGGAAGACCTTCGACWTGTRAAACTGATGCAAAAATTAATAAATTGAAGCAAATGGTCAATCATGTGTTAGAGAGATGCWAAWAGAGCTCGATATCCCTCGCGAGTCTGTTCGAATGATTTTAGACTCGTCCCGATAAAGCTGATTTTCTCAAAAAGCGTACCGTAAGAAGTTATTTTTTTATATGTTTAATAGTGTAAATTCCGATTTTACACTCAAGGGGAGCATTATAACTGCTTATTAGACATCGTTTTATGGAACAAAACAAGTCATAAAACTTCGCAATGGARGGAAAAAACGTGCTGAAAATAAAAATAAAAACACGCCAAAGTGGTGGTTTGTGCATTTCGGAGGACCAGACTGTGAATAATGAGTTATATTTGGTTGATTTGTGGCATTTGCTTGAGAACGTCGATCGAAAGCGGGCGAAATGGTGGAAGGAGAGCACATGCATTTTACACGATGATAATGCACCACCGCATTGAAACACGATTGTGACCGACATTAAAGCCAAAACTGCAATTAATATCATCAATTAACCATCGTATTATCAGATTTGGTTTCGAGTGATTTTTTCTTGTTCCCTAAAGTTAAATTTGCATTCCGTGGAGCCCGTTTTCAGTGGATCGAAGAAAAAAAAAGGCATAAGTATATTTCACCTGGTGGGGAATACTATAAAGGTGACAAAATAAATATTGACGAACAATTAAATATTAAAAAATTCGTTAAGATCATATTCTTGAATATCAATCCTATTGGGATTTGAAAATATAAAACCAAAATAAATTGTACATAATGGCACCCTTTTAACCACATTTTTGATGATTTTTGATGTAAAAACTATATAATTTAAATAAAATSTAAGCGAAATGAAAAATGCTGAAATTAACGCTAATTTCAATATGAAAGTTGCTTTGTAATCAAATGACACATATAATTTTGGATTTGGATGCGCAATTATTGTTGTCCGCAATTCCGTTTGAAATAATTTATTCTAATGTGTTTAAATAGATTTTTGTTTATTGTTGTTGTTATTTCACTTTCAATTTTCATTTTTAAAAACCACATTTTTACGTATACATATATGTATCTCAATATTACTTTCAATGTTTGATATCGAAATCACTTTCAGCATTCGCTCAAATTAGTTGTTAATCCAACTTGGTATCCCACAATATTAATGTCTATTTGAATTTTGTAAAAAGTTGGTCTTATTACTCGTATACATATATGTATGCGTATTTATGTTCGATAAGTGGGACGTCGATTTTAATAAGCTTCTCTCGATGTGAATTTTTCCTTCAGACTAGACAGAAACAGGCTGTAACTGCCAAACCTGGATTACAGGGTTAATGCATAGAAATCTCCGCTCTTAGAGCATCTGATGAGTCAACAACTAGAAGTAAAATTACAAGAGCTATGCTACCATGAGCAAAAATAGTATTTGTATTTTAAAATTCTTAATGTTCCCCTTCAAAAGCATTGTTTCACAGACATTAAAGCGACGATCCCAATAAGAGTATTTTCAAAAGATTTCTGACTAATATATTTACAAAAAAAAAAATTTTCATATTCCTTACTCACCTTCGGTATTGTTGGGCAGCGGTATCGGTTCGCCACCTTCCCGTCGCCACGTTATGGTAGGTGTTGGTGAACCAACTGCTGCACATTTCAGCGTTACGTTCGCCCCCTCTCGTATCACCATATCCGTGCTGGTGGGAAAATCAAGGATATCGGGTGGAACTGCTTACGCGAAATGCAGGAAAAAMAGTTAGAATTGTAATATTTATGTTGCATTGTATGGCGTTGCATGGCGGTGACATAATTTTCACGGTCATTGTTATGTTGTCCAGTGAAGTCACCGTGGTCGACGACATCATGATACAACAGATGATTTAGACATGGCACGTGATTTTTATGAAGCAACAGCAGCGTTGAAATTTTGTTTTTAGTCAGCGAGAGTTGAAATTATTTTCAGTTTGCGTTTGTTATTATATATA